CCCCCCCCCCCACCCCCTGATATTCTGTCCTCCAAACTTCAATTGAGTTTGTGGCTAAAAGACACACACACGTGTGTGTAATAATAATAGAATCCTTTGCTCTTTTCAATTGTTTTCTTCATTACTTCAGTTTGCCTTTGCTAATACTTGGGATGAACAAGAATTGCGCTTTGAATTTCATTATAGTTTGTAGGTGAATGATCACACTGTTATAAAACAATAAAAAAAGAAGATAAGTATTGCAGAGGAAAGAAGAGAGATAATTCTTATTGTTTTGAGACGAGTTACAATGGAATATGACCCCTCTATTTATAGGGAAAAAGTGAGTTAGCCACCAAGTAACAAGCCCTGAAATCTTTCTAAAATATAGATATTCACCTTAAATAGAATTCTATTTATAACACACACAAGCTTTTTCATGTATGCGTTTACATTATGAATACCATCATGTAAGGAATTTTTTATATTATCAAGTCATCCAAAGTTTATCTACACGTAAACCTCCTTAAAATCATAAAATCTTAAAAATAAAATAAAACTTTTCATGTATTACTATTAATTGCGCAATAATTTATATTTTGTTATTCATCACATAATAGTCCATTTATTATTATTATTATTATTATTATTATTATTATTATTATTATTATTATTATTATTATTATTATTTTGTAGACAAAACAACAGGTAGCATAGCAACCATTTACCTTAGAATTATATTGTGTATATATATATATATATATATATAAGTTAAACACTATTTTATATGGCCATATATTATATTTGAACATCCTTAACACAGTGACCACCATGTATCGTCTATTTGATTCTTTTTCAATCTAAAAAATTTCCTAATAAATAACTCTTAAAACTTAAAATTTGTGTAGAAATAAACAAATCTTAATAGTAAATTTTTAGCTAAAAGATTATTTTTAAATAAATTTTATAATTTAAAAGTCAAGCTCTTTAAAAATTTCTTCAACACAAGCTTTCTACAAACTACAAATCCTCTCGACTCTCACTTTAATTTTATTTTATGCTTACTTTTGTTAGTAAAATTTCTATTGTTGTCTTTTTGTTATTTTAATTTTGATTTATAAAATTATAGTTCTATTAATTTTTTTTAATAGTTTAGCTAAATGTTACGTAGTATGATCTAAAAATTTTGGTACTTCATTCATTGACAAAAAAATTATTGACTTATTTAAAATTTTTACGCCCTTAACAGAATTCATGGCTACGCCACTACAAATAACAACCAAACAGATCACGACTGTAGTTGGATAATGCTCCTACACATGAATCAAAGATCTCGTTTTTTTAAAGGTGGATAGAATTTGGGTTCTTTATTCATATTGGGACATAGTTGAATCACTTGGCTATAAAAATGGATTGGGTGTTAAGGTATGATGCATTAAGCAAGGTATTTAATAGAAACTGAAATATCAATGGAACCAAAAATTGATTCAAATACAATGAAAACATTATCGATGTGTTTTTTATATTAATTACAGCTTAAATGTACGAAAACGATAATATTTTATTTAGTTTAATAAAAAACGGAATAAGTTGAGCTGAAGTCAAACAAATAATAGTATATGTGTACACACGTAAAACCGAGGCTAAGGAACATCCCAATTTTTCGGTGGGGCAAATGAGGCAAAGACATAACTGCGATGAATCGAAGTCGAAGTTGGGAGCTTTCAGTATCAAGACCCGAACATAACACTTGCCCTCGGAGCCATTGAGACATGCCCCTCCCCCGGACCCGGTCCGAGCTCGAAGCAATGCCAAATGACCACACACGATTAACAAAGGGTTGTGATATACGTGCCCAACCGGATATCACGACGTGGATCCCGGCCCGTATCAGCGGCATATCAATAATTAGCAAAAAGAGAGATTTTTACCTTTCTTAGAATTGTACTTGGGGTAGAACTCCTCTACTATATAAAGGGGAAGTCTATTATTCAATAAACTTTTTGTAACACGCATACCAAGGCAATATATATCTGTTTTCTCTATTTTAAAAAGTTATTCAATATTCTTGCTTTTGTCCATAAGTTCTTTATAAGTATTGACTCGGAGCCGAAGGCAAGTTTGTTGTTGTGAGGCCCGACTCACTATCAGCACTAGTTTGGTTGTTTGTTCTTTTTTTATTTGCTTATCTAACATTGTAAATCATTTGTATTGAATCAATCCACATATCCTTAAAATTGCGTATAAATTCAATTGTTATCCATTTTAAGGGTAAACAATTTGGCGCCCATCATGGGGCTAAGGATAATAGTGGTAGTTTGATAGAAATTTCCTCAACACACAATATTTTACGCTTGTTCTATAAGATTTTTATTTTAGATCCACCTAAGAATTTCAAACTCCCAGTCTGCTCACTTGAACATTGTTGTTGAGTCTGGTCATCATGGCAAAAATAATAATAAAGTACTCAGCAACAAGGTGCCCCCTGCTGACCCCAATGGAGTCCCCGTGGCAGGCCCAATCGATGCCAACTCACACGTGGCCCTCGAGCCAACCTGCCGACCGACCCTAAGAACAACGTTCGCGGAGGAGCCCGACCAATGACTCGGGGTACACCCGAAGGTAAAGGAGACGGGATCAATCTACGGGTAATCTTCGAAATATTACTGGCTCAACAAGCGGCGATAGCACAACTATAGAATCAAAGCCACGCCCCCAGCAGGGTTGAGCCCGAACCATCCCGGAAAAATACCCGAAGAAAGAAATTGAGCCCGGGACCAACCCCTAAATAATAAAAATGCTTGAGGAACTGAGAAAGCGTGTGGAATCGGGGAAAAAGAAAATTGAGGCTAACGATGAAAAGGTGGAGACCTATAATCTAGAGTTTATTAAATCCTAGGAGCACCCCCAATATTGAAAGGTCTGGACTCCAAGAAATTTGTCCAAAAGCCTTTTCCTTCGAGCGCATCACTGAAGCCAATCCCAAAGAAGTTTCGCATGCCCGATATCCTAAAATATAACGAAACTACAGATCCAAATGAGAAAGTGACCTCGTATATGTATTCCATAAAGGGGAACGACCTAGAAGATGACAAGATCGATCAGTTCTGTTAAAAAAGTTTGGGGAAACCTTGTCAAAAGGAACTATGATATGGTATCACAACTTACCCCCTAATTCTATTTATTCGTTTGCTATGCTTGTAGATGCCTTTGTAAAATCACTTGTCGGGGCCATCAAGGTCGAAACTAGAAAATTGGACCATTTCAAGGTAAAATAAAGAGATAATGAAATGCTTAGGGAATTCGTAGCGAGGTTTCAAATGGAGATCTGCCTCTGGTTGAGGAAGATTGGGTCGTTCAGGCGTTCACTCAAGGAATCAACCCTCGAAGCTCCTTAGCTTCGCAACAGTTGAAACAGAATTTGATAGAGTACCCAGCGGTAACTTGGGCCGACGTCCATAACAGGTACCA